GAGAGAGAGCACACTGCACAGACACTGAGGAGAGAGAGCACACTGCACAGACACTGAGGAGAGAGAGCACACTGCACAGACACTGAGGAGAGAGAGCACACTGCACAGACACTGAGGAGAGAGAGCACACTGCACAGACACTGAGGAGAGAGAGCACACTGCACAGACACTGAGGAGAGAGAGCACACTGCACAGACACTGAGGAGAGAGAGAGCACACTGCACAGACACTGAGGAGAGAGAGCACACTGCACAGACACAGAAGAGAGAGAGACCACACTGCACAGACACTGAGGAGAGCACACTGCACAGACACTGAGGAGAGAGAGAGCACACTGCACAGACACTGAGGAGAGAGAGACCACACTGCACAGACACAGAAGAGAGAGAGAGACCACACTGCACAGACACTGAGGAGAGAGAGAGAGAGAGAGCACACTGCACAGACTAGGGACAGAGAGAGGACACTGCACAGACACTGAGAGCACACTACAGAGACAGTCTGCACTGATATACAGAGGGAGATGTCAGTGCTACAGATAAGAAAACTTGCAATGCATTACTGACCACTCATAAGAAGCAAGGGAGAGAGCACAGGAAGAGAGTGTGAGACCTCACTGACTGAGAGACAGTAGTGTGTGAGAGAGACACTGATAAAATTAATGAGAGAAAGAATGCAGGGATTGAGAGACAGTAGAAGTATACCTTAGAGTGAGAGACAACCAGGAGAAAGAGACCTCAGTCACTGAGAGACCGCTCTATGTGAAAGAGAGACTTGCGTGAGAAAGGGAGACCTCAGTCAGCGACAAATACAGCCGAGCAGAAAGTTACCAAAGTGAAAGTATAAAGAGACCTCAGCCAGTGAGAGAGAGCGAGCAGAGGGACCTCAGCCAGTGAGAGAGAGAGAGAGCGAGCAGAGAGACCTCAGCCAGTGAGAGCGAGCACAGAGACCTCAGCCAGTGAGAGCGAGCACAGAGACCTCAGCCAGTGAGAGCGAGCACAGAGACCTCAGCCAGTGAGAGAGCGATAGCACAGAGACCTCAGCCAGTGAGAGAGCGATAGCACAGAGACCTCAGCCAGTGAGAGAGCGATAGCACAGAGACCTCAGCCAGTGAGAGAGCGATAGCACAGAGACCTCAGCCAGTGAGAGAGCGATAGCACAGAGACCTCAGCCAGTGAGAGAGAGCACAGAGACCTCTGTCAGGGAGAGAGAGAGAGCAAAGAGACCTCAGCCAGTGAGAGAGCAATAGCACAGAGACCTCTGTCAGTGAGGGAGAGAGAGCGCAGAGACCACTGACAGTGAGGGAGAGAGCGCAGAGACCTCAGCCAGTGAGAGTGAGCACAGATACCTCAGCCAGTGAGAGAGAGCACAGAGACCTCAGCCAGTGAGAGAGTGATAGCACAGAGACCTCTGTCAGGGAGAGAGAGCACAGAGACCTCTGTCAGGGGGAGAGAGAGAGAGCACAGAGACCTCTGTCAGGGGGAGAGAGAGAGAGCGAGAGCACAGAGACCTCAGCCAGTGAGTGAGAGAGAGCACAGAGACCTCAGCCAGTGAGAGCGAGCACAGAGAGAGACCTGCAGAAAGTAATACGAGAGAGTGGAGTAAGTCCTCATAGTGCTCACACAGCGCAGCCCAAACGTCAGACGTTACAGCCAAGCTCTGACCCGGAATTGTGTATGAGAGACTACACACACACACACACACAGAGTGCTCAGTGGCAGAGACAGTCACCCTCCCATTAGATAAGAGACCCCAGAAGTGGAGAGCTGCATGTGACCGGCCGCAGCCATGAATTGCTAGATGTTGAAGAGCGAACGCAGGAAGATGAGGCGGCTGGAGAGACCAAAATAGGAGAGCCGTGGTGTCCCAGGAGAAGGATGAGAGCGCAGAGAGTAAGAGCCGAGCTGCCTGTTGTCTTGTGTACTTTGTGTGTGACATTCATCCTTCCCCTCCAGTCTCTGGCCTCGGTGGTGGATGTGAGCGGCTTCATCCCACCAGCTTTGTAATGTTTACATACAAACGTTTCTCTCGTGCTCCTCGGTCGCCTTCCATTGGTCTGTTCGTGCTGCGTTTGTCCCTCATCTGTTCCCGTCTCCCCTTTCTCTTTCTTTCCACAAAGTGTATTATGTAAATGACAGTAACCCATAGCAACCAGAGCTTATATTAGATTTGATGAAAGGCCAAAGCTGGTTGCCATGGGTTACTTCACTTCCCATAACAGCTGCATGTGTTCACACCGGCTCAGTCATCCGGTATACGATATCGTCATTTTATCTATAGAGGGTGACGCATTGTACAACCGGATCACACCTTCTACCCGGTGTAGGCATACATGCCCCAATAAAGAGAAGCACTCCAAGGTGCCGGGTCATAATGAGCTCCCCTAGTGCCCTACATGTGGCCCTTTGTCACTTATTATGTGGCCCCTACAGGAAGTGGTCTGTACTTTCCTTAGTTGCTTACTCAGGCCAGCGAAGGAAGGATATTCTTTCAGCCCCTTCCACACAGGCGCCTCCATTCCGTCTCAAAACGGGTCCCCTGCTGAGTCAGCTCTGAATGAAAACACGTGACCCTCCATGTCCGTTCCGCCATCGTCATCCAACTTGAAAAGGAGAAAAAACTGATCTATGTAACCCTAATGGGCTGCTGGATGTCAACAGACCTGCGTCCGCGTAAATCCACCCACATCCGTTCCGGCCCACAAAAGTGGACCTCTGTGCAAACTTGCTGCTCTTGGTCCACTGAACCTGAACGGACCTCGGTGTAAACAAATCCGGCCGTTCATAGGGATACATTGCAGTCCAATCAGTTTATTCAGGAATCAGAAACGGACTGACGGAGCACCCGTGTGAAAAGGGCCTCACACTGCCTTCTACCAGATCATGGTTTGCTTTATTATTTCATTTTCTGTTCTCCCATCACTTGTATCTTGTTTTCTTGTGATATGTTATCATGGATCTTGCTCAGTCATCTCTGGTAGCATGCCTGTAGCCTCTGACCAATATCGTATAGCATGCCTGTAGCCTCTGACCAATATCGTATAGCATGCCTGTAGCCTCTGACCAATATCGTATAGCATGCCTGTAGCCTCTGACCAATATCGTATAGCATGCCTGTAGCCTCTGACCAATATCGTATAGCAGGCCTGTAGCCTCTGACCATTATCGTATAGCAGGCCTATATTCTCTGACCATTATTGTGTAGCATGCCTGTAGCCTGTGACCAATATCGTGTAGCATGCCTGTAGCCTCTGACCAATATCGTATAGCAGGCCTGTAGCCTCTGACCAATATCGTATAGCAGGCCTGTAGCCTCTGACCAATATCGTATAGCATGCCTGTAGTCTCAGACGATCTCTTGTAGCAAGCCTGTAGTCTCTGACCATCTCTTGTAGCATGCCTGTAGTCTCTGACCAATATGGTGTAGCATGCCTGTAGTCTCAGACGATCTCTTGTAGCAAGCCTGTAGTCTCTGACCATCTCTTGTAGCATGCCTGTAGTCTTTGACCATCTCTGGTAGCATGCCTGTAGTCTCTGACCATCTCTGGTAGCATGCCTGTAGTCTCTGACAATTTCCTGTAGCATGCCTGTAGCCTCTGACCATTTCCTGTAGCCTCTGACCATTTTCTGTAGCATGCCTGTAGCCTCTGACCATCTCCTGTAGCATGCCTGTACCCTCTGACCATCTTCGGTAGCATGCCTGTGGTCTCTGACCATCTCCTGTAGCCTCTGACCATCTCCTGTAGCAGTCTCTGACCGTATTCTGTAGCCTTATGTTCCATGAATGTTATGTGCGGCCCTTTAATGATTAAGGGGGCCTCACCTGAGTCCCCCTATATCAGGAAAGTTCACAACCAGTAGCTTACATCGTCTGAATGGATACTGCATGTGATGCACAAAAGGTTGTTGCAGTCTGTTGGAGAATCTCTTCGCAACGAATTGACAATCGCGGTCACTGCGCTTCAAAGCCATTGGCCGACCAGACTGAAGAGACGCTTGTGGCAGGTCTATGGAACACTTGAGGACGGGCGGATCTGTTGTCACCTCTTCTTTGCACCAGCACACTTTCTGTGTGAATGGGCCCTAAGGGAGATTTACCCTCACTTTTTCGGTCTCGCTGACTACAATTTCACCACACACCAAGTGCCTGATCCAGATAAAGAGACCCTGTCACCCTGCGCATGTGGGGCGAGGAGCTACACGTGAACAGCGGTAAGGGGAGTATAACGGGGTCAGGGGATGCCCTTTGTGGAGACACCGTCGCTTTACCCTTCACGGCCAAGGTGCCTGTGTCTCAAATTGTTTAATGTAACACTAAACTCAGGAGTTAAATCAGTTTCTCTCCTCCCCGCTGGGACACAGAGCAGCGCCCAGCAGGGAGGAGAGAAAAAAAACAGATGCACTATTTCAGCTAAAAAATGGCACTTTCAGCATTTTGCCAAAAGTGCGATTTTCGCCCAATAGCCAATATGTTTCGGCGGCCGATATATCGATGCATCCCTAGATTGTAGTCCATCACAGGAGTGAGCTTGGAGCGGTGACTACTCTACAACACACACACAGGGGCCATGGGGAGCAAAGGACCCTTCTAGAAGTAGTCACCGCTCCAAGCTCGCTCCTGTGATGGACAACAATCTGGTGTTTACTTTACTAATTTGTATTGAGATTGTAGTCCATCACAGGAGTGAGCTCGGAGAGGTGACTACTTTACAGCACACACAGGGACCATGGGGAATAAGAGTAGCCACCCTCCAGAAGGAAGGACAGTGTCGCACCAATTCAGAGATGATTGGAGGATCTACAGCCGAGTGATACACAAATAAGATACATTTGTGTTAATAGTTAAGGAATGTATTTTTAAGATTCAACTCCTGAGTTTAGTGTCATTTTAAACACTACTTTCATCTATACCATAATACAGCTCCGGTATCATTTCAGAAAAAAACCCTCTTGTGGTTAAAGTAGAACTCCAGCCAAGTTTTTTATCCTAGTTTTGGGTAGAGTGGGAAAGGGTTTGTTCCCCTTTCAGGTATTTATTGCGGTCATGTGTGCCACTGGAGGGTCAACCTCATTATTTGTCACGGTGATTACCTTCCCCAGGACAGAAAGTGAAGGGAAATCCAAATGGCAGCACAACGATTGTGCCTCCAACTCCTCCTCCTGACCATTCACAGGATGAAGCCTGAGGCTGTGTGTTTTGTGAATGGCCCTGAGAGGAGCGAGGAGGAGACGTAACTGCAGAGCAGAGGTCTATGAGACCCAGTAGCTCTTACATCCGAGTGGCCTGGAAGTACAGCGAGAGGTGTACTAATCGCGGCATGTATGGGAGCAGAGTCGATGGATTTAGAAGAACGCATGCATGATGGGAGGTGGTAGCGTTATATAGAACAGATTATAACTCTGGTAAGTCTATTCTGCTCGGAGTTGGGTTTCAGAAGATGGAAGAGACGTACATTTTATCAAAGACATGATTGTTCATGGATAGGAAGACACACAGGTGATGCTCTACTCATTTGGCTTAATAAGTGTCAGCAGATGAGTAAGAACAATAGAGAGGCTGATGCCTAATCAATTAGTCAGATTCCAGCTGTCATTTTCAACCCGCCCGGACCAGAATGACAGCCGGTCCTGTCAGCATCACAAAAATGTCTCTGCCTTCCATTGCAATGATCCAGTCAGTGCCAGAACAGGAGGCAGGCTGTGACCTCCCTCTGTGGCTTCTGCAGAGTTAACAGACCTGATAAAATTAGATCTGCGTTTGCCAGAGGCTAAAGAAAAGTAACTGGAAGTGGTGGAGCTCCGGGAGGGAATGGAAAGGGGAAGAGAGAGAAGACAATACAGGAAGAGCCTCCTGGCTGAGATGAGAGACTTCTGATCTGTGGACCCATAAAGACATAGAAGTAAGATAGAGGAACCGAGAGATGATTATAGCTCGGGAGGGGCGGTAAGATCACACGTCACATGATTGTGTGTCTGCATCACCTGGCTGTTTGTGTTGGTTATCATTGTGTAACTTCTACATATATAACTTGCACAGATCACACTGTTTCAGAGTTGGATGACACCAACGTAGTCACAGCATCACTTTGTTTGTCCATAGGTGACCTCAAACATGGCTGCTGCGTGCCCCTTGGCACTGCCGACCCTTCTCTTCTTTGTGCCGCTTCTGCTGTGGCTGGTGGATCCTACGTTGGGATACAAACCAGTTATCATGGTCCACGGGCTTTTTGACAGTTCCGCAAGCTTCAAGCAACTGGTGGAGTACATCAACGAGGTGGGTGGCACAAGTAGTTGTTGGCATGTATGTGGACAAGAAGCGGCGAATAGATGCAGATATGTTTTTTGTAAACACATTGTAACAATTGTTTTATTACATGATATAGCTCCTCATGTATCATTGGCCCCTCCCTTTTATATTGTAAGCCCTCAGGGACAGGGCCCTCCTTACCATCTTGTGTTGAATTGTATTGTGATTGTAATGTCTTCCTTATATTGTAAAGCGCTGCACAAACTGTTGGCACTATATACATCCTGTATTATAATAATGATATTTTTTATGTGATTGTTGATAACAATATTGTGTTACAAGGTGCAAATTTTGGATGGTTCCTCAAGAACCTGGGTGGTCCTGTTGACGGCCTCTCGCCTGACGACCTTCGATCTGAAAATCGAAGGAGCCAAGTGGAGAATTCCGGGGTGTACAGGGATTGCAGCCACAGTCAGTGTTTGGCCGTTCTGACAGCGGCACATACGTCATTCTTAGAACAGTGTGGGGGGGAAATTCGGTAAAACTGGAGCAAACAGAAACTGGAGCAGTTGCCCATGGCAACCAATCAGCATCTCTCTCTTCAGTTTGCTCAGGTAAGATTTGAATGAGAGAGAGAGAAGCTGATTGGCTGCAGTGCAAATCTGCTCCACTTTGTGTGTGTGTGATATTCCTCCATCTATGCTGTTTAGGTTGTCAGTTTGTCATCCCTTTCATAATGTATTGTACCCACAAGGGTGGGCTTAATTGTAGACCTTTTACACCTTCACAATTATGCCCAGCCTTGTCAGTGGAATGCATCAGGCGGTCATTGTGGGGGGGACTGTTCATATTGTCCAGATTAATAAAGTTACCAGTGTTTGAATTGCAGCTCCTCTTTTCCTTTTTAATTTGTGTAATCTGGAAAGGTTTCCTCATACCTTTGGCCAAGTATTGTACGTGGAACCGTGTATACTTGTTTACAAACTGGCACTGCTACCTACCCAGCCCTCTTATATTTTTATTTGACTGACCATAACCAATTTTCACTGGTACTACTGAGGATGTCTGGGCCTTGTTTATTAGAATGGAGGTGGTGTCACATTTGTGAAATCGGTGTGCCATGGGTCACATTATGTCTTCTCTTGTAAACTAGTATAAAGTTTATGCTGCATGTGTATTACATTGTTCTGGTGACGATAACAAATTGCGTCAGTTCTGTTTAATAAGCCGATATGAAATGACCTAAATGTCTCTATGGTAGTGATATCATTCTCGTCTTTTTGTTCCTGCAGTCTCACCCGGGTACAAATATTTCCGTTATAGACCTGTTTGACCACAAAGCGAGTTTACAGCCACTCTGGAAGCAGGTGATGGGTTTCAAGGAGGCCATCTATCCCATCATGCAGAACGCTGGCAGTGAAGGGGTGCACCTGCTCTGCTATTCTCAAGGTGAGTGACGTTCATGCTGACCATAGGCTGGCAATAGCTGTCATCTGCTTGCTGCTGCTCTGCCCTCTCCCAGTACCTGTAAGTATCGGGCTGATCATTGCTTGATGAATATACCAGGCAGTCTGTTAACCCTTTGATGCTGTAGGCCAGTCGGAATCTTTAAACTTATTTTGTTGATGGGCAGCAATATTGAAGCTCCCAACACTACGGGCCCCTGCAACTGCCCTACTGTGCCTCCATGGAGTGAACGAGAGCGTTAAAGGGAACCTGTCACCATCAGATGAGCACACAACTTCTTAAATTGGGTGAATGTAGAAAGCACATACAGTTTGATGGGTCTGTGACCCTTTCATGGTAGTGGGGTCCATGACAAACAGGCGGACTTCTAAGGTATTCCAATGGTAAACCTGCAGTGCGAACACCTTTTCGTTAACATTTTTGGTGATTAGCTATTGTGTTTGAAGATTCTACAATAGTTAAATCTGTCACCGGGAAGGAGGAAGGGAAACAAATTTGGTCACTGAAAAGGAGGAAGGGAAACAAATTACTATCATGGCCAAACCTGTGGCAGTTCTGACAGGCAAAGATTCCCCACTATGTGCTCACTCCTTCCTACCCCCTGCATGTTGTTATTGACAGTGATGGGCTAAAAGGAATATGTGGTGGCTTAGCAATAAGCTCTGACACTCAGAAGTGTCAAAGTCACTGCTGCTCTACCACTCTGGAACGCACCGCAATTGTTGTGAACAAGCCCCTACAGATGTACCTTGGTACAGGTGTCACCTGTACCACAGGCTGTCATGTGTGGGATCTATTATATTTAGAGCTTGTTCACACCTAATCTAGTGCGTTCCAGCACAGTTAGTGGCCAGAACGCACTGGATCGCATACAGCGAGCCTCCGTGCGTTCTGGAGGGGGCATGGCGGTGCCATTCAAGTCAATGGCACCTCAGGCATGCCCAACCCGCCGACAGTGAGATCGGCCGCACCAGAACGCATGGTACAGCAATGTCCAGGTTCTAGTCCAGTGCAATCTCAAAAAATAGTGCATGAAATAAATGCATGCACTATTTTTGCAATCTCACTGGACCAGAACCTGGGGCACTGCTGAAGCACAGCCCTCCCCTGAGACCCCACACAACCCTCCTGAGATTTTTTGGCAGGCACCCCAGAGCAGCACAGAGTACGTAGCTTCATATTATTCTGTATTGCTGGGATTTGTAGTCTACTATAGCCGGGTGCCTTTCAGCAATGCTGTATAATGTGTTGCTGGGATTTGTAGTCCTCTAAAGCTGGGGGTATTCTGCATTGCTATATAAGGTATTGCTGGGATTTATAGTCCTCCTATAGCTGGGGGTATTCAGCAATGCTGTATAATGTGTTGCTGGGATTTGTAGTCCTCTATAGCTGGGGGTATTCTGCATTGCTATATAATGTATTGCTTGGATTTGTAGTCCTCTATAGCTGGGGGTATTCTGCATTGCTATATAATGTATTGCTTGGATTTGTAGTCCTCTATAGCTGGGGGTATTCTGCATTGCTATATAAGGTATTGCTGGGATTTGTACTCCCTCTACAACAACAAAATATAGGCATTCATAATCCACTTTTAATGTACAGTGAGGAAGAGGTGGGGCTCTAAGAGGAAAAGGTGGAGCCTAAAGAGGAAGGGGTGGGGTTTACAAATGAAGGGGTTGATCTTAAACAGGAAGGGGTGGGGCAAATTTAGATTAGAAGGTGCCCTATTTTAGTCTTGCCTAGTGCAGCACAAAACCAAAATGCACCACTGGCTATGGCCCTGGGCTCCCAGAATGCAATGCAGGAACCTCAGCTACAACTAGAGACTGGTTAGCACTGCATTGTGGGGGAGACTGCAAGAGCGCTGATTTCAGCTTGCATCTGGGTAAAGGCATCTAAACATGTCATTAAAGTGGAATACAGGTACGTATAGTGGGGGCTTCGCGTATTTCTTTTAGTCCACGGCGATCACTAGAAATGTGTGAACCAATTTGTGAATGTTGCATCTTATTTTTAGCAATGGATTACGCGTGTTCTGAATATATGTACGCAGATTGGTCAGAGAAGAATCCCGGAGCTGTCTGGATCGTCTGGATTATTGAATGTCATACTTATTTGCCAAAAATCATGAGATTTGCTGCATTTCCCTGATTTTAAAAGCTCTGTGCTCATCTGATGGTGACAAGTTCTCTTTAACTTTCACAAACTCTGCTCCTAGAAGGGACAGCACGGCGGTTTCTGGGGCCCAGTGTTGTTATTCACAGCCACTGCACATTATTTCCACATGACTGCGTGGCACCGTGACAGACTGAATCCCAGAACTAGCCTCTGTCTCATCTCCTCACATGTAACCCGCCTTAATGCCTGTTTCCCAAATATGTGTTCCTTCTGTGACTGTCACATGCCGGCTCTGCTTCCCATCCTGGCAGTGATCTCTGTGACATCCGATCCTGCAGCATCCTTTTCATTCCTGGGTATGAGTCACATGACTCAGCACATGGATCGGCCTTATGCACGTGTAGACGTGTACACATTGACACACATACCAACCCGGCTCTCTTACTTCTAAGCTGCCAGGTATCATACGCGTTGTTCCTTAAAATCACTTTAATTTATTCATACGTTTGGAATGATAGTGCTGGGTCAGCGTTGGCCTGGCTGTGAAATCTCTGCCAGATAATATTTTAATAGGATGCGTGAGCTGTGTCAGTAAAGCTGCTGTGGAAGATAGCTGGACACATTAAACAAACCTTGCAGATTTAACGTATATGTAAATCCAAACAATATATTTCTCTTATTTTCTCCCTTTTTGGTCTGTTAAATCTACCATTCAAAACATATTACTGCAAAATAAACCTGTTGATCCTGCCAGAAATCTTCTAAGCTGATAACTTCCGGTTCTCTCTATGAAGTCTTATCAGTTACATTGTTCCCAGCAACCCCATATTGTAAATAGGTGAAGGTCTAAAACCCTTCCTGACCTACGGTGACAACGCTGCTCCGCCATAGATACAGTACAGTAGGTCAATGTTGTCACCGTCGGTCAGGAAGGGTTTTAGACCTTCACCTGCACTCACTCACCTGCAGTAATGCACTTCCTGTCCTACAGTGACAACGCTGCTCCGCCATTGATACAGCACAGTAGGTGAATGTTGTCACCGTTGGTCAGGAAGGGTTTTAGACCTTCACCTGCACTCACTCACCTGCAGTAATGCACTTCCTGTCCTACGGTGACAACGCTGCTCCGCCATAGATACAGTACAGTGAAGGTGAATGTTGTCACCGTAGGACAGGTAGTGCATTACTGCAGGTGAGTTGAAGATATAGAAAAAAAATATGTATCTGCCATATAATTATCTAATATATGGTGTCGATCTGACCTGTGTTGTTTTTTTAAAATATATTTTTGTTCCTTGAGCAAAATGTACAATTCTTAAGCGTTATTCTATTTTTCTTTTATACAGGAGGATTAATCTGCCGGGGTCTCTTGGAGACAATTCCAGATCACAATGTGGACACCTTCATTGCCTTGTCTTCGCCTCTGATGGGACAGTATGGAGGTGACTTTCACAGCATATGTCATTTCGCTTAAAGTAGAACTCTAGGCAAGCTGCCTGCAAACCTGCCAAGGGATTTGTACTTCCAGTCTGTAGTGATAGTCTTTTGATTCACACAGTGCATAGCAACATTTTTCTTTCAAACTAAACTCCAGTCAGCAGTGAAAAATGATTTGCATGTGTACCCCACAACCTCAAGATAGGAAGGTTTACCAGTTTGTTTAGTCTAGGGGGGTTGTAGAGTCGAGGAATGTCTTTATTCCTCACTCCCTCATATCTGGTGCTATACTCCATTCCCAGTATTAGGGGGCTCATTGAGGTCCTACCAGTGGTCCTGCATTGTAGATGCAACATGAACACCACACACACAGATGTAAATGCTCCGATGCCTAGCCCGATATTTCCGGTATCAGGAAGCCAGGCAGCAAGTCATTGCACGCTGACTGGCTTCCCGATTGGCCGGGCAGCGTGTCATTACACGCCCCCCCCGTCTTTCTGATTGGCCGGAAAGCTGGCTTCATGCTCCTTCGTCACCTGATGAGCGCCGTGTAATGACGAGTTACCCGGCTTCCTGATTGGCCAACTTCTCGACCAATCAGGAACTCAGGCAAGGCGTCATTACACGGCGCCCGGCTTTCTATTTGGCCAGAAAGCAAACTCCATGCACCCTCTTCACTAGGTGGCGAGTCTTTACACGCTGCCCAGCTTCCCGATTATAAGGAAGCCGGGTGGCGAGTCATTACACATCACCTGGGTTCCTTAATGGGACTTACAATATCGGTATTCTATATCGGCGAGTACCACAAAAAAAAAATCGGTACTCGAATTGTCTGAGAATGTGATGGTTGATCGGTCAGGTTGTGGTGGGATAGGCTTCCCTGAAGAGATGAGTCTTAAGGTATCGCCTAAAGACAGTCAGAGTGGGAGACAGACAGACGAACAGGTTGGGGTAAAGAGTTCCATAGGATGGGAGAGGCTCTAGTGAAGTCCTGGAGGCGAGCATGGGAGGAGTTGACGAGGGAGCTGGAAAGCAGAAGGCCTTTTGAATAACGGAGGGGACGGTTAGGATGAAAGTATTATATTACTGTTTTGTTCTTGGGTTTAGATATCACTTACCAATACACAAACTTAAGAATTTGGCCTGTCCTCTAGAAAGCCCGGAATGTAGTCTTTTTACTGTTTCCTGGTTGCTCAGCAGGCAGTGAATTTGCATCGCCACCCTGTTTTCTTGTTCAGCAAGCAGGGAAATGACACTGAGATAGGAGCTGTGTCACCTGCCTAGCTATGCAGCGTGGATCAGATGTGTGACTCACAAGACTGGATGAGTAGACGTATAATCTCCCAGATAGTACAAACACATGGCTATTGATATCCGGTACCATATGGGGTATTCAGATTAACCCCTTTGTGACCACAACACATACAAGTCCAGATGTAAAATGCTTCTTGCAATATGCCAGCTACAGCAGTGACACCACAGAGATAACATTGGCATGAGAGCTATCCGGCTACCTGCGGAAAAAACTGCGTCTAGACCATGATTTAGCTATGAGACTAGAAGCCAGAGGATGGGCATGGCAGCCAACCTAGCAACATTTTCAGAAGTGTGACCACCATTTTTGCCATCTTAGATGAGCAGACCAAGTTTAGCAGCATTCATATGCATCAGTCAATTTGACAATTTCATAAATCATTTTTCTGATTCACAAACTAGTGAATACGAGGCGATGGATTTAAATTTTTCAGGAAGTCAGTCCAATAATAACAGGGTGCAGTGCCCCCCTCCCCGCCAGTAAGGCTCCCTCCACACAATGGGATACCCCTTTTAAAAGGGGAACCCAGAGTTGAGGATCCGCAAGTACACAGTCTAATGAAAAACCCTTCCCGAAAACCCCTTGAAAGATGGGTGCTGAAGTGGCTATGGATGGCGCCGCACAGATCAGAAGAACAAGATGTTACCAGCACGCCGTAGAAATGTGTCCAAACGAACGTCCTTATTGACACATATTGTCATGAATAAAGCTATGTTTCGGGGCTACGGAGGTTCCCCTTCATCGGGCTCAGTATGACTCAGCCTGATGAAGCGAATCCTGTGTGGCCCCCAAAAGTTGCTTTATTGGTGACAATATGTGTCGATAAAGACGTTCGTTTGGACACATTTCTACGGTGTCCTGGTAGCATCTTGTTCTTCTGATCTGTGCGGCGCCATCCGTAGCCACTTCAGCACCCATCTTTCAAGGGGTTTTTGGTAAGGAGTGCGGCAGGATACCCACTGGGCAAAGTCTAATGAATGCGCCAGACAAAACTCAACGAATCCAGATTCTTTTGATATTAGTGTACAGTTAGTTAAAGGAGGATTATGGGGTCAGTGAAATACGCTCATCCGCATAATTCAAGGCGACCTGCGACACTGAAGCTGTAACATGTCAGCTCTATTGATCAGGAAGTCAGCAAACGCAGATCGCTGCCTTCCTGCCAGGTTGGCGTAACTCCCGGGCATGCACATAGGAGTTAATTCATCCCTGCACCCGGCAGATGCCAGGATTGCACACTACATGCGTATCTCTGTGTTCAGTGATCAGGAAGTCAGCAAACACATACCACCGACCGCTGCCTTCCTGATCCTTTCCCTACAGAGAGCAGAGACTGTCAGTCATCACTCCCTGCAAGGATTCCCCCCCTCCCCTCTCCATTTCTCCATTTGCTGACTGGAGGAACGGAGGGGGTGGGCATAGCTGGCTTTGGATCTAGAGAGGCAGAGTCGTCTATCAGCCAGCGGGGTGGATCTCAACAATATTGTCAAAATCCTTCCTGGCTGCAGTGCGGCTCTGCGCTGTCAGCATATAGCGGGCAATTGTCCACTATATACTGAGTTTTGGGTCACCGGAGGACATTAGTATATGTCCTCCTGTGACCCTGATAAGAACTATGGCAAAAAAAAAAGGTTAGGCCATAGTTCTCTTTTAACAATTGATGCACAAAACAGGCAACGCATTTCAGGGGCTCAAAAAACGTCTCCCTCCTTTTTTCAGGGCTACAAGGCAAAAGTAAAAATAAGTATATAAATAAAAACATCCTCATGTACTCATCTCAATAGTAATCTTCCTGATTGACAGGCGGATCTGAAAACTAGGAATGTGCAACTATGTGTTTTCCTAGTACTCACACCCACCTGTCGGTCATAAAAATTAGTCATGGAGGTATTGCCAGGTTAATTGATACATAACAACACTTGTGAACTTTGCTTGGTTGTCTCAACTTAAAGGGAAACAAAATGTTTAGGAAAGGATAAAAGAAAAGCCTTCTGCACATGCTGATTGCCATGCCCATCCTCTGGCTTCTAGTTTCATAGTTAAAGGAGAACTATGAGGTGAGTGAAATGAGCTTTGGGTCACAGGAGGAGGTTAGTATATGTCCTCCCGTGACTCTAAAGAGAACTATAGGGAAAACCACTTACCCCATAGTTCCCTTTAATAACATGGTCTGGAATTATTCTTCTCTGTAAGTAGCCGGATAGCTGTCACGCCACTCTTTATAGTGTCACAGAGTGCGTCACTGCTGGATTTGGCATGTGCCCCAGTTTGTAGAACTCTATAAAGTATGTGCTCACAGTGAAGTATATTTGCAGAGAGAGGTTTGGTCTTGTAGTCTGCACATTATTGACACACTGGGGAAATGCTTTGAAAATGTCATTCTTTAGCATCTGCACACAGGAAAGTCAGCGGTAGTACATTTAGATGACATGAAAGCCTAAACAGGGAAGTAGTAGGGATACATTTGGCTAATACTGTTATGGTTCCTGACACAAGTCATATGAAAGACTGGCCTCTTCCCGTCTCATCTCTCTTGTAGTAAAGCTAGACTTTGGCCAAACCTATACATGTGCAGGTGAAATGTATATTTATGTGAATTGTTCTACCTGCCAAAATACTTATTTTTTAGGGCAAAGGGACTTTTTTGGCTTCTGGGAGGCAGTGCTTGTCCCTTGTTGGTCCATTGCCAGGCATGAACACTGACACAAGAGACTCTGCACTTCTGCATTTTCAGAGTACTGATAAACTGACACTTAGGGTCACAGAGTAATGATACTTACACTTGGGGTGCCAGAGTATTGATACAGTGACACTTGCGGTCCCAGATTAATGAAGCTCGACACTTGGGGTGCTGTATTAATGAAGCTCTGACATGGTCTCAGAGTAATGATGCACTGACACTTGGGGTGCTGTAATAATGAATCACTGACACTTGGTGTCTCAAAGTACTGATACGCTGACACTTGGGAGGTCAGAATGATGATGCATTGACACTCAAGATCTTGGAGTAATGATGTACTGGCACTTGGGGTATAAGAATAATGATGCACTGACAATCAGAGTCTCAGAATAATGTAATACAATAATGTACTGACACCTGGGGTCTCGGCAACAATGGAACGACACTAATAATGCACTGACACTTGGGGTCTCAATGATGCACTGACACTTAGGGGTCTCACAGTAATGATACACTGATACTTGGAAACTCCGAATAATGATGCATTGATACTTGGGATCTCAGAATAATGATGTACTGATACTTGGGATCTCAGAATAATGATGCGCTGATATTTGGGGTCTCAGAGTCATGATGCATTGATACTTGGGGTCTCAGAGCCATGATGCACTGATATTTGGGGTCTCAGAATAATGATGCACTGATACGTAGGGTCTCAGAGTCATGATGCAATGATGCTTGGGGTCTCAGAGTCATGATGCATTGATACTTGGGGTCTCAGAGTAAAGATGTATTGATATCTGGGGTCTCAGAATGATGCACTGATATCTGGGGTCTCAGAATAATGATGCACTGATACGTAGGGTCTCAGAGTCATGATGCAATGATGCTTGGGGTCTCAGAGTCATGATGCATTGATATAGTAATTGCAAAGAACTTGCGCTAATGGAAAAAATAATCAAATATGTATAAAAGTAGATAAAATGGATAAAAATAGAAAATTTAAAAATTTATTAAATTGTTCTGGAAGGGTAAGGGAAGCTGCTGAACAAAAGGCACTCAGCCCCTATTAGGATGTGTTATTTCAAAACGTACAGCGCTAGCCGTCCTTCAGATGTGAATATAAGAACTCAGACGTTGAGATCAGGATTTAACAAGTGCTATTAAAAAAATTAATAATTAATAAAACATTCAGTGAAGGGGTGTATCTCAAAATATTCAATGTGAATCAGTTGTGTGAACAAAAAAAGTTCATAAAATATCAAAACAGACAATGTATAAATGTATCTAATAAAATGTGATAAGAATAATGCCAGGTTGGCATTATTCTTATCACATTTATGGATTTATGGATTTCTTTAGACTATATATAAAAAATTTATGGATTTATGGATTTCTAAAGACAATATATAAAAAAAACTACAAAAGATTTGGACTATTCACAAATACATCGAGAAAAGTTTAATTTTGTTTTATTTTATTTAAGTGGTACACATTGTTTGTCCATTCACTATTTATTAACAAGAATCACTTACACATGATACATATATTCACAACCTTATCACATTTTATTAGATACATTTATACATTGTCTGTTTTGATATTTTATGAACTTTTTTTGTTCACACAACTGATTCACATTGAATATTTAGAGATACACCCCTTCACTGAATGTTTTATTAATTATTCATTTTTTTAATAGCACTTGTTAAATCCTGATCTCAACGTCTGAGTTCTTATATTCACATCTGAAGGACGGCTAGCGCTGTACGTTTTGAAATAACACATGATGCATTGATGCTTGGGGGTCTCAGAGTCATGATGCAATGATGCTTGGGGTCTCAGAGTCATGATACATTAATGCTTGGGGGTCTCAGAGTCATGATACATTAATGCTTGGGGGTCTCAGAGTCATGATGCAATGATGCTTGGGGTCTCCAAGCAATGATGCACTGACTCTTTGAAGCAATGACACACAGCAACTGCAATAGATGCGTTAGATTTCACCTAACTGGAGGTGGGTCAGTGACGGGTGAACTGCATCTGCAGGTATTGAATACGTTTGCAAGTATCTCAGAATGATGGGACACCCAGGTTTAGAGTCCTAGTTTTATATATACACATCCTATACTATTGCAAGGAATGTTCACCACAAGGCCCCCCGCTGCACATGGCCCAGATTTCTGCATTCTCCTTCTCTGTCAATAAAAGAGGAACGCCAAAGGGAAGTGATTTTTTTCCTTTTCAGTGCAGCATTTCAAGTCTTTTTTGTGCAGCATTTGAGGAATGTTTTTGTAGATTCCATTAGTCAGCAATAGTTGTTTTCCTGTTTTATTTCTAAGAAATATTTCCCTCTCTTTCTCTAAGTGTCATTGTTGAAGGGATATATTCATATATACTGATCCCTCTGGTAGTTCTTGGTTTGGCTTATTAGACCAGGACAGGACCTTTTACCAAACAATTGCCAATGTAATGGGATTAGCCACCAAGAAAGTTCATAGTGGAACTCCAGATCAGTGGGGACGGCAGCATTAAAAAGGTGACAAAGGTTGAATTGCTTCCTTAATTTATCCAGAAAGAAATGGAAATGTTTTGGCTAGAGATGCACTTTAGAAAAAAGTTTTGACTAGAATCCACTGTATTGTTTTCAGGCAATAGACTAACAGCAACCGCAAACCACAAAAGACTTAATAATCTCTGGTTTTTGTTTTGCAGACACGGATTATCTTCGGTACCTGTTCCCCACCTATGTGAAGGCCAATTTGTACAGATTCTGCTACACTCAGTATGGCCAGACTTACTCCATTTGCAATTTCTGGAATGGTAAGGTGCAGCAATGTATCATTAGAATGGTAGAGGCATTATGTGTAGAGAAGGGACAGGCAGTTTTGGAATGGCATGGGGCAGTAGAGGCTCTGGCATTTCATATTTGAATGATGAGGGTGGAGTTTAGCACCAGTAAGGGGCAGGGCATAGTCTAAACTTGTAATGAAGTCAACCCTATTTACACCCTGGCCTCACGATTCAATGGGCTACACAAGAGGGTTCCTGCATTTGGCACTGTCTTACCTTGTACCTCCATATGTTATGATTTTTCTTGATTGTTTTTCCCTTGGAAAAGCCTTAAAATATTTTTTTCTCATAGTGGAAGTGTGTTTTCTGCCCTCCTACTCCAGTGCTCTTTGCTGGCATGAGTAATGGCCAGACCTTTCACCACAAGCATCCTCACACATAGAGAGGCGGCATGTCTGACCTTGTTTGATTATGTAGTGTGGTCAAACTTCAGTGCCCAGGGCCACCATTTGAAATTATGGGTCTCCATACACGCTCACAGGGGCAGCCTGACTTCCTAACCAATCAGCTTCCTGGGAGCGGACATTGGTCAGGAAGCCAGGCAGCCTTGGCAACTGAAGTCGGTGTTATTTTGATAGAACACTGGCTTTCCACTCTGCAGGTTTATTTCACGTAGTATAATCGGCTCTGCCCAGTTCTCCCTGTGAACTACAGAACACCATGTAATGGAGATGAGAAGCAGGGAGCGGTTCCATAGTCCTGCCCTAGGGTAACCCAACACCGTTCCTCCATAAATACAGTATAGGGATTGAGCGTGGTCATCTCAGGACAGGAAGTGGGTTACTGGCAGGACAACCAGGTGAAAATAAAGGGGGAAAAAATCCTAAATAAGAAAACGAATGCAGCTACCGCATCTAAGGTTTAGTAAGCTGCAATATTTACAGTTTTTTCTTTTTGGGTTTATATACACGTTACCTTAGGCCTGGTTCACACCTGGGCGTTTTGTAGCGCGTTCGAACGCTCTGCAAAACGCTCAAACATCGAAATGCCATTATTTCCTATGGGTATGGTTCACACCTGGGCGTATTACAGGCCGTATGAACGCGCTACAAAACGTCCTACGCCCAAAGAAGTACAGGAGCTTCCTTGGGTCGTTTTTGTCGCGCGTTGCCATTGGGATACAGCCAAGTAGCCCTTGGAAACGCGCGTTTGTCGTGCGTTTTTTACCGCGAATCGCACAACTAACGCGCATATTCGATACGCCTAGGTGTGAACCCAGCCTTACAAAGTCTTATGTTTGTTATATATAATATGTAAAAGTGGTGGAGTTTTAATGCCGGTCTTTGTTTGCATACAGATCCTCATCATCACGACATGTATATTAACGCCAGCGATTTTCTGGCACCAATAAATTCTGAAAGGCCGGAACCAAACACTACAGGTAGGTCAGCTGACATGTTTTCACTCTCAGGATTGGGAATGGGATGCTGTTATTTATACTCGCTGGTCCATGCGCGTCTCTGGTGCTGTCACACTCTGTGTTGTCCTATGGATACCTCATGCATGGAAGCCTTGTGCCCTGAGATATGACTCAGCACTGCGTTACCCTCTGCACAGGATAATCATTGTATCGCAGGGGAAAGAATATACAAGCCTCTTTATCTTTGTAACCACACCTACAAGCAAATATCGTTTTTAATATGCATAGTGGCATGCAGCGGGGCCTGGGCTGAGTGCAGACCAGGGCAACTGCATTAGGCCTCATTTACACAGGCTTTGGCATACATGCAGTGATATGCATAGATAGAACATTTCTAAACGCACATAAATGCATGTAATGATTTTCAGTGGTATAATGCATCTACTTGTGTTCAGGTGCATTGAGTTTAATTGTGTTTAGAGAAAATAGAAATCTGTGCGTCCGGGGCAGGTAAGAAACTCTGACCGCGTATAAACGCATGATAAAGGGGATTTTGGAGGGAAAAGTCGATACTAGCAATACTCATCTGATTTATAGTCGTACCTTTATTTCTACCTGGTGATTAGTTTTAAAGGAACCTTATGCGGTTAATATAAAACAAACAAACAAACAAACAAACATACTACCCTCCATGCTGCAACATCCGTGTGACACTGCAGCTATCCCACGTGGGCTCAAAGAGAGCCGGCAGATCACATGACCGCTGATCAGCCAGTTCTCAGTCTGCTCGCAGTGGGGACCAGTGACTATCAGTCACCGTACCCTGTTCTGCTCCACCATTGTTTACTGGAGCAACAGGCTGCGGAGGGGCCAGGGTGGTTCTGCCGCCGGCTCTCAGCTGCTTGCCGAAAGGCAGAGCCAGCTGTCAATCAGACAAACAGGCGGATCCCAACAATATTGTCGGAAACTCCAATCCGAACGCGGTGCAGCTCTGCTCTGTCAACCCACTTTCAACGTACTCTGGGTCACAGTAATCAGAGGAACCACATAAGTAAATGTACTGCTGTGACCGAAAAGAGAAGAATAGCTTAAACAGCAACAAAAAAAAAGGTTTGGCCATATTTTAATTGTTTTATTTGAAATAATTTTATATGTTTTACAATAGTTGTATTATCTTGTCCGTTTTTTTACTACGGGCGGACGGCAAGAGGTTAAAAAAAAATTATGCATGACAAAGGATTCCCAGAGAATTATGGGTTGGAGAAACAAGCACAGCAGAAGCTGCTTGCATGAAGACTCGCTTTGTCTGCTTTTTTACAGTAATTTATTCTATTTCCATCAATGGCAGGACTGATTTTAAATGGTTTTGTGCCCCATGTAAATTTTCTATAGTAAATAGATTTTTGGTAATCTGTTGCAATTAATTCAATGCGGGATTGCCTTAAAATACTCCTAAATCCTTGGCCCCTCCCCGAGCATAGTTCTTAACCTCAATATTTCTCCTTTTTAAAATCTCTAATTAATTTTACTTACCTGGAACGTCACTAGTAGCGGCCGAAATCCTGGCTATGGCCGGGTGCAGAGAAAGGGTCCTGTGTATTGCGCCGGTAAAGCTCGGCGCGCAACACTGTAGGCAGTGGCAGGGAAGCTCTCTTCTTTCTCATCGCTTTAATAAGCTGCTGCCACTGGCAGGACTGGACTGTCTGATTTGCAAAAGCTGCCCATCAAACTAGGTAGATGTTCATGTGTGGATCCACACACAGGATTCTCCCACACTGCGCTGTACTGCTGAACAGTTACATGATCTGTGTTACGGTCACCCTGCGCTACAGAGATAATAGCAGCAGCCGGTCATATGAAATGGAAATAAGGGGCCACGGGCTTGTTTTTCCTGATAATGTTCGCTTTATATCTGGTCATAGGAGGCAGTGTTGGTGAAAGCAGGCCAAGCCACAAGATGGCTATTGCAGACAAACTTTTACTATTTTGCCTGGAGGTCATCTTTAACTTGGTGATCCAGCCAGAAACTGCACTTCCTGCTGCAGGCTGACAATGATAATGATCGGCTTTAACTTGGCGATCCAGCCAGAAACTGCACTTCCTGCTGCAGGCTGACAATGATAATGATCGGCTTTAACTTGGCGATCCAGCCAGAAACTGCACTTCCTGCTGCAGGCTGACAATGATAATGATCGGCTTTAACTTGGCGATCCAGCCAGAAACTGCACTTCCTGCTGCAGGCTGACAATGATAATGATCGGCTTTAACTTGGCGATCCAGCCAGAAACTGCACTTCCTGCTGCAGGCTGACAATGATAATGATCGGCTTTAACTTGGCGATCCAGCCAGAAACTGCACTTCCTGCTGCAGGCTGACAATGATAATGATCGGCTTTAACTTGGCGATCCAGCCAGAAACTGCACTTCCTGCTGCAGGCTGACAATGATAATGATCGGCTTTAACTTGGCGATCCAGCCAGAAACTGCACTTCCTGCTGCAGGCTGACAATGATAATGATCGGCTTTAACTTGGCGATCCAGCCAGAAACTGCACTTCCTGCTGCAGGCTGACAATGATAATGATCAGCATTAACCTGGCGATCCAGCCAATAACAGTACAACAGCAAAAGGTTCCCCAGCACACTTGCCAGCCTGCAAAAAAAACAAAACACTGTGTAACTGCTAAAGTAAAGTAAAGAGGTCTTAGTTATACGTCTTTTTGGGCCCCTTTTGTAGCACTTACTGCAATTACTTTTGCACGATATTCTAATTATTCGAGTTTCACCTGTATGTGGAGGCTGCACTGCCTCATCAAGGCTCCTCTGTACAGTGCGGTCCTAACTCTGATCTATGAGAGTCTCCATCTTGGCGCATATAAAGCAAAGAATGAATTTGGTGCAGGTTCACCAGGAGGCAACCAAACCTCCTTAACTGCTTGCTGACCGTGGTGTCTAGACCCCCTTCCTGGCCAGGCCATTTTTCAGTATTCAGCGCTGCGATACTTTGACTGACGTTTATTCCGTCATGCAACGCTGTACTGAAATTAATTTTATACCATTTTTTGGGGACACATAGAGCTTTCTTATGGTGGTATTTAAACCCCACTACGGGTTTTATTTTTTACTAATAATTAGGAAAAATTACTGAAAATTTTGGAAACAAAAAGTTATTTTTTTACATTATGTTAGGAAACATTTATTATTACCCAGTTTTTTGGTAAAATATAAAAGACGGGGTCACGTCGGGTAAATAGACACCAAACATGTCACGCTTTAAAATTGCGCGCACCTGCGAAATCGCATAAAACTACCATACCCAAAATTGGCCGTAGGCGACGCTTTAAAAGCTTTTACGGCTCATCAGTTTAGTGTTATCAGTGATTGATAGCCCTAAAATTCTTGCTCTCATTCCGACGTTCGCGACGATATGTAACATGTGCGGCGTAATGGGCGCAATCGTCTTTTTTGCATGTATGCGTCCCCGACGCATGTTTGCATGCGTGTATGTATGGGTGGGGACTTTAAAAAAATGTTTTTGTTTTTTTATTCTTTTTTATGTGTAACTTTAATTTTTTGGGGGGTCTACACCAAATCCAACAAGCAAAATAAATGGCAAACGCTCTCAGCAATTCATAACCAGCTTTACAGCCAGGTGCACATGGAAGGGCTTTATACAGTACAACAGCAAAGGTTTCACAGCACACTCACCAGCCAGGGTGCAAAAAGCACGATCTAACTGCTAAGGTTTTTGCAGGCTGGCTGGTGAGTGTGCTGGGAAACTTTTGCTGTTGTACTGTTTGAAGCCCTTCCATGGGCACCTGGCTTTAAAGCTGGTTATGAATTGTTGAGAGCATTTGCCATTCGTTTTGCAAGCCAGTAACAGTTCTTCCTGTTGCAAGCTGACAATTATAAGGCATTGCATCACGGCGAGCAGCAGTGTTGTCATTCTGCCTTCAGTTGGTCATTGGGCTGCCTATCGGGTGTATCAGATAAGCAGCATAACTGCCAACTGAAGGAGCTCACATGGCAGACAGACAACACATTGCAGGTCAGTGGCTCGGCGTCATCAGCTTTCAGCAGGAAGTGCTGTCACTGGCTGGATCTCCAGATAAGAACCTTCGCTTAAAAAAAAAACTGTAAACAGTGAGAAATAAGCCAAGCATACCAAAAATACATTTGGGGTTTTCATACACTTTTTACTTTTTCAAAGCTACTGATGATCAACAATATTGTGAAAGTTCATTTGATGCGCGTATCTGCAGAGCCGTATTTGTCTTCTGTCTTCCTGAACTGAAATACATAATGCTGTTCTCACAATTGTCTTTGGCAGAATGGAAGAAAAACTTCCTACGTCTCAAAAAAGTGGTTCTCGTAGGAGGGCCTGACGATGGCGTCATTACTCCTTGGGAGTCCAGGTATGCGTTGTGACTGTAACACTGGCCCATCTGTATTGAGTGCTGGTGCCCTCTGCTGTCTTGTTCTGCCATTGCAGTAAGCCTAGAAAAATATGATATCCTTAGGTACCAGATCCCCCTAATAGTGTCTCTTCTTTGGTTATTTTTTTTAGCCACTTTGCTTTCTATGATGAAAACGAGACGGTGGTGGAGATGCACCAACAGCAGGTTTGTAGTGACATTCACATTTTCTTGGCTCAGTTAGAGAATTACTTCTTTGGTGAAGATTTTTAAAGGGGCAGTAGACAAAAAAAAAGTGCCATTTCAGTTACAAGTGTTGTCAGATGGGCTGAGATCTCACTGGGCCGAGAGGGCTACAGTTCTCGGGTTCATGCCTGCACACCCTAAAGTCTAACTGCTTTTAAATGGGTGTTTCTGTGTGTTCCCATTGTTCTAGTTGTTTAAAATCCTGCATGGATACATGGGAAGACTCATCTCCGTGAATGAGCCTTTAGGCATGGGGGCTCTAAGTTTGTATAGCCCACCCATGACTACCAGCAAAATCAAAACCTAATCACACAGATACTCGTATTATGCCCCACCACTGCTCTGAAGTCTCTCTGCTGTAAACATTCCAGCCATGTGTGCCCACATCTCCGGGTCCGTCATCTCCCACTGGGATCAGTCCCTGTGTAATGAAGCCGCACATTGCAGGTTCAAAGATTTAGAATCAACTTGATTGTGCCAGCAGAACAGTGATGCGTTTCGCCCCCCTAGTGAAGCTTAATCCTGCAAGTGTTTTATAATTAGGTTCTACTAGGGGCAAAACACATCGGAAGGAGGAGCTGGAGTGCTCTCTCTTGTGCTGGAACAATAAAGTTGATTTTAGCTCTTTGGAAACGGCCGAGTGCAGTTTTATTACACAATGCCTAATAACGGAAGTCACAAAGTTTTTCTTTCCAGCCGACTCCCTTTAAATAGTACTGTGGCTGCTGACTTTTAGAAAAACACATACTTACCAGCCCAAGAAGTCCAGCGATCTCTTCCTCGCACCCGATCCTTTTGCAGGGCTTCTGATCTTCTGTGCCGCCATCTTGCATTCGGGAGCCAGCTGTCACTTCTTGAAGACTCACAGCTGTCCCCCTACATTGCATGCATGAGACACGGTCAGGGAGGGACTGGCAGGGAGAAGAATAAAGGATTTGTTGTCCACACACCTTTAGCTTTAAGATCTCGTCTTTATTGATGTTCTTGCAGCATGAAGGGATCCCTACGTGGTTCCGAAACGTTGCAATCTTTCTTCATGCGGCAAGAACGTGAATGAGATTCTGAAGCTGAAGATGTGTGGACAACATATCCTTTATTACTATGCTGCGGGGCCCATCCGTGAGGAGATGGTGTCTGGAGTTTTATGTGTGAAGGTCTGCTTTCATGTACTCCTATTAAACAAGGTTGTTTGTTCCCTAGGTATATGAGGAAGATGCATTTGGTCTCCGCAGTCTGGATAAAAAAGGAGCGATCACAGTCTACTCTGTCCCGGGAGTCGTGCACACAATGTGGCATTCTAATGAGACCGTGTACAAGGAGTGCATCGAGAAGTGGCTCACGTAAAACCTCAACGTCTACTTCCGCTCATCACACATCTGCCGCGTACCTCCTCGAGACCTCTTCTCTGCTGCAGTTTGACTTGGACCTCCTGCACCTTGAGCTTAGCTGTCCCTTCTCATCGTGCTGTGGTCAGCTGCGGCCCTTTTCTTGTCCTTTTGAGAACCTGTAACCCTTCTACTAAAGGTCACATGACTTAATTTCATGACTTAAGTGCAGCGCGCCTTGCTCTGTATTACCAGGACGTAGGACTCATTTGCATTAGCTAACACTCAATGGAGTATCTAGGGTACTTTATACCCCCCCTCCCAAAAACTTTTTCTGACGGTAGATAATGTTCTGTTTATAACCTTTTATAGGAAACTGAATTTTGGGAAGCGATTTGCACAGTGGGGGCATGGGGGGATTGGTGGTTGTTGCCGTTGTACAGATGGCAATCACCTATTACTAAACAGGGATCCTCTACCTCCACACCTCAATCATCTGCTGTCCAACTATGGGCTAATATCGGGTGCTTTGTTAAAGTTCCTTCAGGCAAAAATTATGAGTGCGGCTGCTCACCCCTTGGTATCCTCAGGCAGAAATGATCATTCAAAATGGACCTTTCCAACATGATAATAGTACACCGAGTCCAAAGGGCGATATGGAATCAGTGTCAGACTTGGACGGTACATGGAGATGTCTGCTAATATTATGTGGATGCAAAAAGTGCTCATCGAGGTCAGAAATGTATTTATCAAAGGCCTAATTCAATGTTGGGTGAGCACGGCTGGGCGGTATTTCCTGCCAGCCTCCGATGTCTCCCGAAGATTCAAGTGGTAAGATTTTGTGTCTCCGCCTCCTACCACATGGTCATATCCAAGGTGCCTCTGTCTGCCAGTGACAGTTGGACATAAGTGGGAAAGTCATGTGCTTATACCTCACCCAACTTGTGATTCAGCCTATCAGCATCCTCACAAAGACTGAAATATGGTTCTCGCGTGTACTTGACCTTTAACATTGTTATTGTTTACGATAAATGGACATTTACAATTTTCAAATAAATGGAATTCCAGACTATGGGCATGTAGGCCAGAAGATGGTCTGGTTAGCAATTAAAGGACGCACATAGTTTGAAAGATGTTATTGTATGAAAATATTCCCATCTGTGGTACCTTTAGGAGATCTGGCAGCAATGAAGCCAGAGAATTAGGATGGTGAGATTCCGGCCTCCATGGTACCATTATGATTATTATTATACAGGATTTGTATAGCGCCAACAGTTTGCACAGCACTTTACAATATAAGGAAGACATTACAATCACAATACAAGACAAGATGGTAAGGAGGGCCCTGCCCCTGAGGGCTTACAAGCCTGTCCAGGGGCAGTTGCTTTCATGTTTAAAAAACTTCTCCAAATCTGTTAATCTTGGACAGTTTGCAGGCGGTTCTTGAAGACCCCTAAAGCGTTCCATTGCAGTGTGCACGAGACTTAACGCACATTATGGAATGCATTGCATTAGGCAGCCCATTCATTATACATGGGCTGCCAGCGCATCACATCGGAATAGAAAAAACATGCATGACATTTTTATACAAAGCACTGTGTATGTGTTGTCTTACGCTGCAATGCATGGGGGGCATGTGTGGGGTGTCACTCGCAGAGATCAGGTGCATTGCCACAACACACAAGTGTTAACAAGCACTGAGTGTGGGCAGATTGGCCCTCTGCTGAACTCAACAGCTACTGCAGAGTGTAATAGAGGACAAATCACCTCCTGTCATCAAACATTGACCACAAATTGTCAAGCCGCCAGACTGAGATACAATGCTTCCAGTTTTTTTACATTTTGTTTTTGTTGTTGCTTCACGCTAACCCCATTGTTGGTGCTGCATATTGCAGGCCAGCTCTCAGGGGCTCTGTGACCAATGTTTTATTGTCTTTACTGTATCTTTGAGGGGCTTCTGCCCATGCAGCCCCCTGGGTGTCCCCTCATTTCCTGTCATCCAGAATGTGACATAGATCCCTTTTTGTTTTTATCTTCCCCTTTATCTCCCTTCCCTATTTTAATCTACCGAGGTCCCTAGTTGCTGGGGAATGTTTCTCCCCCTTCCCTTTCTTCCCTTTAGGTAGTTCCGTGTTTAGGGGGCTTCTTCCTCCATTCATGAGTGGCAGAGCAGACTAGTGTCTCCTTAGTCTTTATTTGCCCTTTTAGGCTGCATTCAAATGGGCGCTGAATGGAAAGGATCCTCTAAAGCAAGCGTGGTCACCTGCTGTCAAACCGCTCTGCTGGTGGGGTGGCAGCAATGTAATACAGAGGTGACCAAGACTTGAAAAAATTAAAAAGGAAACGGGCAGCCGCGCTGTCTCCTGACTGCGCACATGTACACCGAGGCTCCGTTCCTGCGTTTATTAGATGCTTGGCAAGGGCTTGTGCTCCCGAGCATGAAGCCAACCTTATAGCATTGCTCACTGCTCTGAGGACAAACAAGGCGGCCAGTGTTATCCGCAGTCTCCGGCGAGGACCGTTTTTCAATCAGAATTCGCTATTACAGGTCAGCTACCAGTGCACAGGCCGTGAGCAAGCAGCACAACCCCTCCCCTGCGCAAGCAGCACAACCCCTCCCCTGCGCAAGCAGCACAACCCCTCCCCTGCGCAAGCAGCACAACCCCTCCGCAAGCAGCACAACCCCTGCGCAAGCAGCACAACCCCTCCCCTGCGCAAGCAGCACAACCCCTGCGCAAGCAGCACAACCCCTCCCCTGCGCAAATAACACAACCCCTTCCCTGTGCAAGCAACACAACCCGTCCCCTGCGCTGCCTCAACACAGGTTGGAGGCCTTTTTAATTAATGATCTCCCCCTCCCTCTCCCTCTCTCCCTTTAAGAAGATCTCAGCTTTTTGGCTCCACTGAGGTTCATTTATGAGAACTGCAGCAAAGGGAGACTAGCCAATGAGGGAACATCTTACTGATTTTTAGCCTGGACTAAAATGACAGCTGGAGTCACATTGGTTGTTGTAGGAACTATCGCTGTTTTCCTTTGTATTAGCTAGGGATAGGACTTAAAGCCCAACTTCAGCCCAAGCCTTTTTTTTATTATTTATTATTATGGGATAGAAATGTTAAAGCTGAACTCCGAAATATATTCCTCAATAATAACAAAGGCTATAAATCCACTTTGTGTGCACCCGATGTCTCTGCAAACCCAGATATTACCTGGAAAATTGTAGTTGTGACATCATCACTGTGCTGTACACAGTCTGTGCAGAGAGCAGAGCTGTGGGAGGAGCCCAGCAGACTCCACCCACTACAGGAGGAGGCAGAGACGAGACCAGTCACCCTGCACAAGGATAGAGAGCAGCAGTGAGTGGTCTTTATTACAGGAGGGGGCGGATACAAGACCAGTCACCCTACACAAGGAGAGAGAGCAGCAGTGAGTGATCTTTTTCAGAAGGGGGCGGAGACGAGACCAGTCACCCTGCACAAGGGGAGGGAGCAGCAATGACCGGTCTTTATTACAGGAGAGGGCGGAGACAAGACCTGTCACCCTGCACATGGAGAGAGAGCAGCAATGACCGGTCTTTATTACAGGAGGGGGCGGAGACAAGACCAGTCAACCTGCACAAGTAGAGAAAGCAGCAGTGACCGGTCTTTATTACAGGAAGCTCCAAGTCTTGCACTGTATTACTGCACAGATCTGGAAGAAATAGACAAGGCACAGACTCAGAATACACAGGACTTTTGTATGTTGACAATATTTGCTGATCCCGGAGTTGCTCTTTCATGTTGGATTGTATGGGTAGAGGTTAGATTGTCTATTGAGTATTTCTGAATGTCTGTGTCCCCACTGGGGAGATTTTCTCTTACATTTTACTGTGCAAAAGGCAAGCAACAAGGGTAGTTGGTGCTGCAGTGCTGGCACAGGAAGGCACAAATGGCAAAGAAAACCTAACTGGGGGTACTAACCCTCCCGGGCTCTACTACTTAAACCAGGGGTAGCCAAACTCCGGCCCTCCAGCTGTGGTGAAACTACAAATCCCATGATGCATCTCTCTCCGGGAGTCATGTCTGTGGCTGTGAGAATCTTGCAATGCCTCATGGGATTTGTAGTTCCACCACAGCTGGAGGGCCGGAGTTTGGCTACCTCTGACTTAAAGTGTATCACTTTGATATGTGTCTACGTGGAGAGATTTCCTATCACTTCCTGTGTCTGTGACCCCCAATTACCAGGACAGGAAGTGATGGACAGGAAGTGAGTTCTCCCCAACAGAGACCCAGACAGCCCTGAAAACCAGAGTTTTTAACTCTTCTTGACACTTTTTTTTTTCCATCTCGCCACACACACACACTACACTAAACGATTTTGACTGAAATTGGGCTTTATGACTTGAGACAACCAGGCAAAATGCAGTAACTTGCATTTTGCAATCACAATGAGGGGAATGTATCAAAACTGGAGCAGCTGTGCATGACAACCAATCAGCATCTACCTTTTCATTTTCAAAGCTTAACTGAACAGACTGAAGAGGGAAGCTGATTGGTTGAAATTGGTAACCGCTCCCGTTTTGATCTCCCCTCATGTAGGTTTAGGTGGACCTAGGTGGATGTATGTTTTCATATGTAGTGCATGCATGCTAAGTAACACAGTGGTAATGTACACGCAATAGTCATTGGCAGTGCCTGCAGCCGCTTCTCTCTCCAGGACAAGCGCCATCTTTGTTCAGTCATCCTCCAGGGTCAGCATCTCTTTCCTGCACTGAGATGCCGGCCCGGACATGACACAGCCACGGCAATCCCGGGGACTGTTTTCACAAATGCCTGACACAGATTAGCCCCCTGCGCCAGCCTCTCACCATGCGAGAGGAGGATGAGGAAATGTCGCTTTTTAAGTGATCCTGTTGCTGTATATTTGGACACGTCAGAAATGGATTCATGCCGACTTGTGAAGTTACTGATCGGTCCACTTGAAGTAAAAATACATTCTGGTTGCCATGGATACTGCACTTTGCCGTTGCTTGTTAACATGTTTGAGAAGAAAATGATTCCTTGTAACGCGCTAGGCCGCTGGGATCCAGCTACAATATGGCCGCCTGGAAGGACGCACCCCACGGAGCAGAGAATTCCAATGTAATGCCTTTATTTGCTGCAATGTCGGCCCTCATCAA